CACAGCATAGCAAAAGTTAAAAGTTAAAGACTTTTAAAATATCTCTAGACAAAAAACTATTAATTTTTAAGCTTTGTTCCTATTGAGACTTTCGATCAGCATCAATATTATCGAGTATAGAAAATCAGAAAAACTGTCGAAATTTCTTAAAATCTCCTAACATTGAAGAAATTGTATATAATAATATTAATAATCAAATCAGTGATCAAAAATTAAGTGAAGAGAAAGAAAATGTAAAGAAAAGATGTAGTTATTATTACAAATCTGAACCAGATATTCGTCATCGTAACAATCGTATTAAAGATATTAAAAAATTAATGCTTTTAAAAAAATGGTTATAACGTTCAATCAACCGATTTTAATTGATAAACAACCCTATTTTGCAAGAAATACTTGTCCATTCGGTTCTATAATACAAATATTATCCACAGCGGTTATGGATAAATCACAATATTTTACATCAATAGAATCAAATGCCAACAAGACAATGTAATTTATTCTTAATTTTATTAAAAGGGGATATGTGCGAATATTTACCGATTGTTTAGTACGTGTACCAAGTACTAAATCAGCTTCTTTGATTGGTGTAGATTTTACACTAAACGATTTATACCTATCGGAGAAGCAGATTTAGTATTTGGTACGCGTACTAAACAATCGGTGTAAACTAAGCCATAGATGACTACATATATGACTACTGTGAACCTTAAAAGAGTGGAGATGAACAAAACATTGTGAAAAAAACATAGAGCAGCATTGACGAGAGATGTCTACATTTGTCGCAACGACAAAGATTTTGATTAGCTAGCGATAATTATTTGTTTCGTAAAGCACGAACTAAAAACATTGTGAGGAAATCTATCTTTTCAAAATTGATTCAAATAATTTTTAATCATAATTAAAAGATTTCTATAAAAGGACCCCGCACAAACATTATGAAAAGTGGTTAAATTCGCCGAAATTGCAGTATCATTTATTGATGCTGATCGAAAGTCTCAATGGAAACAAAGCTTAAAAATTAATAGTTTTTCTAGAGATATTTTAAAAGTCTTTAACTTTTAACTTTTGCAAAGCTGTAATAACATAGCGTGATATAATGCCGTCTAATGTGATGCTGTGTGTGTGAGTGGATGTGTGCATATGTGTGGGTATATGCTGTGTTGTGTATATACACACGCGCGTACACATCCACCACTCACTCGCATACACACCTACACGATACATGCAGCACACATACGCACGCACACACACGCATATGCACGCACAGGCGCGCATACGCACGCACACGCATGCGCACCCGCTCCGTACTCCGTACCCGCCATATTCAAATAAAAATTATTTATCTTGCGTTTTAAGCAAAAACAAATGTTGGAATTATAATATGGAATTATAAATTTAACCGATTATTAATAATGTACAAACGACGTACAAACAATTAAGCACGATAAATTCATAAGTTATAGTTTACGTGACGTAATTGCGACATAGGGGGGGCTAACTATCATTGGCACAGTTACGAAAACTTTGTAATTTTTTTTAAATTAACGAAAAATGTACAAACAATAAAAATCATAGTACATTCATGTACAAACAATGTACAATCCGAATATATAAATGTTTTTACGATTTGCGTTAGGGGGGGGGGGAGGGCAACTATATAAACCTATAATTGATTATTTCTAATTCGAAAGTTTTTGAAATACAACCGTCGATATATTTTCCGTTTGATGATACCTATTTTGTTATCTGCTGCTACTAACAATAAGAAGTATTGTATTATCCTCGAATTCCTATATTTACTACTATTGATAATAAAAAGGCATTGTAAAAATTATTTGATTCACATATATATGCGTCGTATTATTATGAATGCAATAATTATTATTAGGTATGCAATTATAAAAAAATTCTACAAAAATGTCGATAAATTTTCCAAATGTGGTAAGCCCTCTACTGCTGGTAACTGCTAGTGATCCAACAATCGAAGAGATAGGATTAATTTAGTAAATACAAACTATATAAATAAAATCAGTATAATATTAAATAATAATATTATATATATATATATCATCACTGATTTTACAAATTTATTTATTAGCGAATATTTCTAATGACATTATCTTAATATATCATGACTATGATTTAATATTTAATCAAAATTAGCTCATTATGCTATTTGCAATTAAATTAAAATTGCTTTATGCGATAGAGAAAAATATAAATAAATGGCTTCTGAAAATATGATTAAAAAATATAATTTTCTTGATTAAAAAGTTGTATTTTATATTTTATGGAATTATATTTTTCGTATTATTGTCTACATTTGTTTTGGTTTATTGTTTTTTACTGTAACAATAAAGAGTTTACCAAAAATACATTAATATACATAAAAAAGTTTTTATTCTAAATAAACTCTCGTAAAATTAGTTGTTTTTAAAAATATTTTTTGGATGATGAGTGTCAGGTTGTTATAAAAAAAATAGGCGTTTTGTTGAATTCCAACATGTTATTTATTGCAAGCGAGTTTGAAAAATGTAGTTATCGTAATGATTTCGTAGTACATTTGTATGGGATAATATTGTCAGACTAACAACGACCTAGCGTCGTCGCTTACAGGTGACGCACAAATGTGTATGTGTAATTATTATATTGCCTTCGCATCACACGTAAATTTATATGTGGTAATATGTACACAGCGAGAACGTTAAATATTAATGTCTTTAGCTATGATGACAGCTTACGAATTAATGGAACGTTTCTTCTCGTAAAAAATAGATATCCAGAGCACCATGTTTCGATTAATTTGTTATATACAACAGCTGCGCCTTATCCTGCGGCAGGGAAGTAAAAATGACACTCGCATTCGATACCACCGCCGCGTGGCATAATGCTGCTCACAAACATAAACGGTATGGCTGCTGTTTCCGATTAACGGCAAGATCATAATATCCGCCGCAGCCAATTCGCGAACAACGAGAAACAAACGAGGAACAGAAACTGACTATTATGCCGTAAAATTTTATGCCCTGTACTCAGTCTTTCTCATGCGCAATTATTATCATCGCGACCGTCTGGTCCCGGTTTGTGACACGTTATTTTTATATTTTATAGTTATGCTATCTGCAATATGAGTTATATCTTTTGAGATTGAACGCGTTAGTTTTGTGAACGGGCATTGTAAAAAAATTTGAATAAAATCGAATGCATTTTAAGTTGTAATCTTTCACGTAAAGATATAATTGGGATGGATTCCGTCTCGAGATCCTTGGGTCCTCGATAAGTGTCTCATTATCGAGCTCAAAGATTCGGAGGTCCATCTCTTTATGGAATTTTGTTTATTCTCTTCTCCGCCCTCGATAATGCAACGACGAGCGGGGAGGGGATAGTCGGAGAAAACGTGTGAGTTACAAACGAGAACGTAAAACGGGACAAAAAAAAAGACGAAATGAGAATTTGTCAAAGTGACCGTGGCATAAAATTTCTCGCTGGACTACCCATGGAGGCTCGAATACGACGCGCGATTTCGCGATACTTTCGAGAGTCCTTGGTGGGTTTATATAGAGTAAATAAGATCACAAGCGTCATAGGGGCCCGCGGGGACCCCCGAGGGTTAGAACAATACGTAAAAATAGTACTTCGTTGTATACGTGTGCATGTATGTATGTATGGATAATGTGTGTCGCGTGTCAGTGTGCATGTATACGCTTAGCCTACTTATTATTATATACACATACAACGTTGCTTCGGTTGCCTGCATCGCTCAGTTGTTGAGAAGCCGCGCACAAAACATGAACTCCCCTTACTCTTATATCACATGTCGTATATAAGAAGGCACCACAAGTAATCTTAGATCGAGAATCTGGCGATTCGTGTCGCGAACAACGAATTAGTATGCTAACCAGGTAACGTGCATTCTCGAGTCCTCAGTATCATTGCGTTGCATATTTCTTTTCACGAAAAGCCTTCTAACTTTGCAATGAATTGTTAGCATCTTCGAGCATACGTATACGGACATCGCACCGGAGTTACACTGCGCAGCGCTACCGACACGTATCTTAGATCGACTCGCGCATAAAAATATACACATATATATATTTAGAAAATATATTAAAATTTTGATTTCCAAATATGATTCACGCAAAATGATTATTAATATCAAACAATAAGAAGACGATAATAATATGCACAAATAAACATGTCGCATTCCTTACGCAACCTTATAAAATTTAGAGAACGATCGATCTTATCATTCGATCACGTATATTCTGGCTTTTTCATTTTAAGTCTGTTTCCGGTATTTACATCTATAAATGAATTTCTATAATTATTACAATATTGTTTTAGCGCGTAATTTCGATTTTAGAAAAAAATGTCATATATTTTAAATCTTTATTTATCTTGTACCGTAGTGCCCTATCTCGTGATAGTTTTCTTCATCATGCCACACGATACATAGATGATAATGTTTTCTTTATGGATCACTGGGGAGAAACACAATAAAATCGATACAAGCTTAACAAAGACTAGGCACTTAAGGCTTCGGGATCACACTTGGATCATGAGGATATCCTCACAGGTTTGACCTGTGACTTGATTTTATTTTATATGTAAAAAAATTTCATATATTTCTTTTAACATTATTTCGATCACCAAGTTACTCAGTATTTTCATACTCAAAGATGCCCTTACGCGTCGTTACGGGATATTATTTTTTATCTGATTTCAATGCGGGAATATGATTCCTAAATAAATTTTTCAAAATATTCAATTGCAAATATTATTTATGTAGCATACTTTTAGACAGTAATTGAAGATATATCCATTCAGAATACAAAATATATTTATATATACGTATATATATATATATATATATTCATAATACTTTGTTGCAATATATTATTTTCCATTTGCATGTTTAAAAAGATTTTCAATGTTAGACCAGACTTAAACAATGTTTTTTTGTGTTCCCGTAACTTTTCACCTCTATTAACCTATGCTTTCGAGTCAAATTGACTCATTATGTAAAATTTTTCCATTGTTCACGTTTGGAAATGCACGGTTATTTACGAATCGATCTCACAATAACTTAGCGTTTAAGTCCATTGTTACGACTAGTCAATTGCCTCTTTCAACGCGGCTAATTGCTCCTCGCCGAGCTTCACCTTGTCCTGTATCTCGCGACCGACCAGTATCAGTTTTGCCTTCGTGTTGATGAAATACTGGTAGTCAGCACATTCCTCATTGCTCAGGTACTTTTTTACAATTTCCGATACGTTCTTGCTGCGTTTATCGATATTGTTTTCCAAAATCTTCGCTTCTTCCAATTGAACCATTAGCTTGTTCCGTTTGCTCTCTAAAATATTCTGCACAGAATAATATTAAAAGTTAATAAAAATAAACTTATATATCTCGGATGGAAAGTTTATGATTAGAAATTCTTATATGAAAATTAAAATGTAAATATCCATAAAAAATTATCAATGTTATCAATTATTATTAAAATTATATTGATTATTAATATATTTTATTTACGGTAATAAAATTTAATCTCGTAATTTCTTGTTTATTAAACATTTATCTCGAATTACTGTATTCTCTCTTTTGCGTATGATTACTTTTAATTAAACGGAAACCGTTTGCACACATGTCAAAAGAAACGAAAAAATTTAATACTCACTCTCTCCGCGTGATCGGTCGGCATTTTACGAAGGGCGTTCTCAGCGCGAGCCAACCTATCGCTGAGACCAAGAAGAAGACTCATAATCTTGCCGACTTCCTCCACGTGATTCCGATACTTTGACGCTTCCGGCGGACGGGCCACGGCGGAAACACGCGCACCAACTCGGGCACCTAGAGTTTCGTTCACCTCAACTTCCTCTCTTACAGCCTCCTGTTCGGCCCTAAGGCCTACCAACTTCCTGTCGAGCCGTATCATCAGCTCCTCCTGAAAGATCATTTGTAGAAAATATATAAAATACAATGCTAAGCGCAATGTTTGCATTTCTACAGCAAAGATTCGATAGATTGAGAAAACACGATAATATTAAATCGGCGAAATAATGATTTTATTTGTTACACAAATAGTTGCATAATAGGTTTCGGTTTCAGAGATACGTGATAAAATTTAATTCCAAAGCGCTATAATTATATGTTACATAAGACCAGATTGTACTCCGAGGCTACATGAAATGATACTTTTATTCCCGGCTAATCTATGAATAATCATCGTTATCCGACCATCTAGACACCGCAATGGTATACCGATTGAATTTAGCGGGCAACTGTGAATTTAATTATAGCACGCTCTACAAGCATTTAATTACACCCTGGTTTTTGTGAAGACCGGTCGTACCTTCATCTGCCTAAGGTCAAGGCTGTTCGTCGGTACAACCGCCGGCGTATCCTCTTGACGTGTTAATCCCTCCGCCGTGACGTCCCGCGAGTATCTCGTCAGGAACGTAGCCTTTCCCTCGGATGTCGTGAAATAAGCCGAAGCGGGGGACAGGGGGCTGGTAGGCTCGGCTGACAGTGGCGTGACGGGAGCCGAGGGTATCGTTTCGTGCCTGAAAAGAATTCATCGCGATGATTACACCTCCTGGTCGGATAATACGGATTAAGCGGCCCGTCCCTCTCTCTTTCTCTCTCTCTCTCTCTCTCGCAGCATCTATGCAAAAATGTTCCTGTAATTGTCGTCGTTGCAAGAGGGCAAGGAATTGCGTCAATTGAGTGTGAGTCACGATTGAATTAATCTCGATGTTTCCGAGGCAAGGCAGGAGAGACAGAATGATTTGTGAGCGGATATGAAGGAATACTTTGCGGCGTAGAATTCACAATGTATATTCGTAATCAAATTCCGTGACGAATAATAAAGTTATACGCGCGCTATCAGACGGATATGTATATCCTCAAGTTCATGGATGAGAAGAACATTATTCAACGGAATGTTTGTTCCGCATAATCCGACCGCGATCGTTATCAGCTAAGTGACAGCACGCGATCTCGTTGGTTTGAGCGTATCTATAAAATCGTGGTCTATAGAAGAGGAGAAAGTGGTCAAGAAAGCGAGATATATATCCAGGCGCCACACTGTTTAAAAAAAATTCTTCAATTGTACGAATTGTTGGGAGTTGCGTTAGGAGATCGGTTAAAAATTATTTACACCAGTTAAGAGGCGGAAGCGCAAACTCCCAACATAATTATCCCTTCAATCATCATTTGCATACGCCGTATGTTGGTGCGAAATTGTTGCGACTTTACTGCTATCTAAAATTGCTTTCGAAAGTGCCAATTTTTCTTCCTTATTCCCGTAAAATATGGTAGAAAGTTCGCGCGTACGGCTAAAATTAATTTAACGTAATACGTCAGTTTCGCTTTATTCATTTTTGGTTGATTCTTAATCCGATTTTAGCCTCGGCGGAGATTTTACCGCGTCATCGGGCACACTTTGTCCGCACGTGAAATTTTAATTTACAATCGCAGGCTGCTATGTGGCACACGGAGTATTCCCTATGTCGTTTGCTACAGTGTAGATCGTTACAGCCGTTACGGAATAAAAACGAGAGGTCGTGTCTACTTTTCTGGACGCCCCATTTCCATTTCCCGTTCGACTTGCTGCGGGCACGCCGCGCACTCGGCTAGTACGATGCGTTGCTTTCAGCTATACGTCGAAGACTGGCGAATAATATGATGCGCAGAGAACAAGTATCGAGTAGATGGGCTTGACAATATCATTTATGGCGAGTTACGTAACAGTCCCGGTGCTTTGGCACTTTCTCTTTGAATATACGCTGGAAGAAGTATTGTCCTTAAGCGCGCAAGAGAGACCGGATCAACGAAAAAGGGAAGAGCTGGCTTGCAAAACCATAGCAAATAAATAACAATAAGCAGTAGTCATAAAAGTACTGTGGGCGTGGTGGAAAGAAAGCAATGTCGTAAAATGAAAAAGAAAGATCGAGCAAACTGCGCTAATTTAGTTCCGTAAAATGTTCCCGGCTGCGACTGCAAATGATTCATTAAAGTCCGACGTTTATCGTCGTCGAAAAACGACAATTAAATCCCAACGGCGATGAAAGTTCATCAATGATGGCATATCGCTGTCTACACTCGCGTAAATGTCATTCATCGGATAATAAAAAATTTTTACACGCGTCTGGTTCGAGCGAGATATTTTTAGACGCGTGCCGCCTTCTTTTCTCGCGAAATATCGTGCGAGCGGTAAACGCGTATGTTTGGCATCCGTCCAAAAAAATTCCAAGTTTATTTGACTTGCAGTAGCATAGAGACCACACAGAAACGCGAATGATCAAAGACATTTAAATGACAGTCGTAAAACCAGACGAAAAGACCTCGAGACTTGTTTATTAAAATTATAAGGTGTCTCCTAGACATACGCGAACCAATTAAGTCGGGTAAAGAGTATTACGAATTTGCACTTGTAATGAACGCCTTCGGATTTCAAGGCATGCGACCTGATTAATAGCACGTAATCCACTGCTCGTGAGCACGTGAAAACTATCAATTATCGCATTTGGTCTATATTTACGCCGTCTTATCTGCCTCGGTTGTAACAACAATTTTGCTGACCCTCGATGTAGTGACCAACGGATGAAGACAACGCGCGTGATATCGGAGCAGCGCGAGCTACCTCATAAATACGCTTTAATTAAGCAAACATCAATTAAAAAAAACTCACTTTTTATCGTCCGTGTCCGCGTCCTCGCCGCAGGAGGTCGTTGACTCTTCCAGGGAAAGCCGTCGCTTTGGTCTTGGCTGCAAGGTCGCCTCCACCCTGAACAGGCCGGAAATGTAGTCGGTGGCTTTCTTGTGCTCCGGCGCTGGAACTGATAAGGAACGAAAAAAAAAAAGACGTCATCAGGCGCTCTCGGTACGGCGTGTTTCCCTCCTCGCACGCTTCTTCGTTTCACGCTCGAGGGATCTCCGCGTCCCGTGGAAGCCATAATGCGACGGGGGATTGCATCGAATATCGCGGCGACGGTGGCGGCGTATAATTGAATAACACACAGTCGTGTTGTTGATTAAGTTAGCGCTTATTAAAATAGAGGGTCATCGCCCCCAAATGCCTGGCTCCACTGCCGTGTGCCAGATGATAATTGCGCGCGCGTACGTACAGCATGTAGATATGTAGATATTATTCACGCACACGGGCGTACAATCGCGTATGCGTAAAGCAAAATGATGCGACAGCGCAAGTGTAATAGGCGGCTAGATAGACCGTATATATGTCAGGGTGAGTTTCGCGGTGAGCGTCGTTAAAAATTGAATAACGTATCTAATTGAATCAACTGCATTGGCGTTTATTAATGACGACGTAGGGCAAATAGTAGACTCGTCAGATGAACGACGCTTCGCGAGCCATTACTCATGCAATTGAAACGATAAAGATCAGAGAGTCACTCACCGAGTATGGACAACAGTTTATCGTTGGGACTGAGTTGACCGACTAAGTCTTTGACGAATTCCTCGCACTCGATCTCCTCCGGTAATTTCTGCCGCTTGTTTAAGTCCAAGATGTCGGTCTGCGAAGCGGCGTCGCTGGTGGCCGCGTTCACTCGGAGCACGACTTCGGTGCGCTGCACCAACGTCAGTCCTTCGATGCCCGGTTGCGGCGACACGCAAAGCGACGACGTCGGCGACGACTTGTCCTCCTCGATCGGCGAGTTCCTCGGCGACGAGGAGGTGGAAGCTTTGGAAACGCTTGAGATCGAGGACGCGGACGATCTGCCGCCGAGCCTGTATCTCGAGGATGATCTCTCGATGCGCGATTCCGAGTCGCTCGTTTGGCTCAGCCGACTCGGCGAATTAGTTCTGTTCCAGAAACTCGTGTTATCCGTTTGAGTCGGACTGGAGACTTTTCTGTTATTAGAGACACACTCTATCCGGGCTTCCTTTCTCGCGAGAGAGTCGAGAGAGCTCTTCGGCGATGATCTGGACAGGAAAGTTCGGGGCGATATGCGGGCGTCAATTGACTGTCCCGAGGAAGAAGAGCTTGAGCAGCTTCCCGATCGTCTCGGAACAGCTCCTCGTCGGCCCGCAGCTTCGACATTGTTCGGTGATCTTGGCGGCGAACTCGTCGGTGGTGGCGGCCTATCGTTAAAAATGGTAGCTTCTATTGAATTTTGTGTCTCGAGTCCTCTGGTCCAACCGTTATCGTAATTCGCCATCACCGTCGTGGCGATTGACGACGTCGTGGTGCTCATGGAGTACGTGGATATCGTGTTGTTCGACGTCGATATGCCATTCGTTCTCTTCTCATTACGACGGTTTAACAGTTCGATATTCTGCGAGGTCATCTCGATCGTGGCGCTTCTCTCGCGGAAAAAGTCGTCGCCGGTCATCGGGAGCGAGCCACTAATTTCTCGTAGCTGCTTCTGAAATTAATGATCAAAGCCTCAGAAATTGGAAGGAAAAGTTCAAAAACGATAGTACAACGCGATTGAGGATTATACAAAAATAAATAATTAGAAAATCGGGAAAGTTAAAAATATTAATGTATTATTTAAAACGCATAAAATAAAGAGATTGGAGAATGTTAGATTGCCGGAGTAATAATAATGACGAGCTGGTTACGCGAGCTCAGCAAGAAGCTAAATGTTATAGAAACGTGAACTAAATTCGCGCATCCTTGACACTGCTATATTTACAGGTGCAAAAATAGATAGACCGCTGAAACGCGAAAAACACGTAAAATACTGTTACGCGAAGGTAAATATCCACAGATAATCTCACCTCTCTATTTTGAGGTAGGGGCTCGCAGCTCGCTGCCAACTTCCGACGTTCCCGTTCCAGCTGCCTGTTCCTGTCATTAAGGACCTCCACACTTTGTGGCGATAGTCCTTCCCTGCGTTGTTCGTAATCGTGTCTCTTCTCCGGATGCCTCTTTTCCTGATAATGATGATGATGATGTCGGTCCTCGAGATTGTCGTTATTATTATTTTCGTTAGCGCGAGATCTCGCGTCGCTGGTCTGCAGTTTTTTGCTGAGTTCGTGCGAGAGTTTATTGACCACCTCCGCCGAATGTTGCTGCTGTTGAGAACACCTCTCCTCCAATCGATGATGGAGAGCGTCCACGCTGTGCGACTTGGGGAGATCAGAATGCTGTTGATGGTGATTGTTGTGATGGTGATGATGCTGCTGTTGTAACGGATGATGCGGTGTGACACGTAAGAGTACGGGATCATCGTGATCCCTAGGAGGCGGCCAATCGTCCATCCGAGAGGTCGGCGACATCGTTCGCTTGTAGCTACCTTCGCTGTCGGGAGCTCCGCGCTCTCGTCTGTAAGCCAAGTAGGATGCCTTCGATTGGCTCCTGGAACAAAAAAAAGCAAAGTATTTTTAAAAGATGTTCGACATAAAATCGCTTGTCTACATAGATTTAAGCCAATTATACCAATACATGTTCCCAATCATTAATTGTGCGGTAACGTTGATTAATGTGAATATGATTACGCGTGAAATACAACTTAGTGGCAATGAAAATAACGTTTAATTGAGACCGGATACGGTTACTACTATGTTACTATGAATTTTAATTCCTCTGCATACCTTTACGGTTCTACTAGTTTCTCACGGGCTTCTGTATCTTTCATAAACGACCGCAAGAATTCTTATTGGAATGCCGTTGCACGGTTGCAGCGATGCATGCACATATTATCATTCCAACAGCACATCCTCGCGTTAATCATGTGATTTGTACGTAAAAATCTTTTTTATATAAATATTTATATATTCGCAATTAGATTTATATCTTTACGATTCTAATAAAACCAGCTTACAATCAACCCGTTCATATTCTAATATCTAATATATCTATACATTGTTGCGTTTCGAAAAAATACGCTACAATGTGTAATATAAAGCTCTTTCCAACGCCTCTATTTTCCTATTTTGTCTTATATAAGTAAAAATTATGAGCACGCGAGATACAATCCGTTCGGACGTGCGTTTCGTTCCTACCGCGGAAGGTACAAATCACCGGAGCAAGACTAATATTCGCAACATTGATATTATTCCATCGCTCCGACGTTTATCATTCCTGAACATATGATCGAACGTTCCTTCAGTTTAATCCGAAGCGTGCGCGGCTGTATTTTCTTCTTTAATCGGATCACGAGCTGACATTGAAATGTCATGCTGTCGCAACATCGTCCTTACACGTGCATTGTGCCGGATTTAAAGCCGCCCGTATTTATGACAACGTACGTACGTATCTAATGCACGATGGGGACCAATGTCAGATCCCGCACATGGATTTACAAAGTCGCGTCGCGAAAACACGTCAATCTTATTATTCTCAAGAGAGATCGAGATGCACTCGATGCGCTGCGATCTTAATCGAAAAAACTCAGCGGTAAAGTAGTCTTCCGTAATAATTGTTCGGTGCGCGCATCAATCTTTCTTTCGATCGTGTAGATGGAACGGCAACGTTTTACGGCGAACTCGTTTTGACTCGGGCGCCTATCTTCAAAAGTGCCCTGCTTTCATCCTGGAAGACTGACGTGACGGCTTGCGCAAATTGCTTCGGCTTATGTCGCGAATCGTATCCTTGCTGATCGCGTGCATATCTAACGGAAAGGAAAGTTTTTTTTTTTACCGTAACGAAACGGTTAGGAAGAAAGCCGAAAGTAAAATTCATGTCCAAATTCTAATCACGCGTGGAGTCCACTGTAAAATCGGATTCCAGCGTATATCCCCGGCATGGTAAAGAAATCCTTTCACATGTACGATAAAACTTATCTGACATTGCGATTCGAAGTCGTGTAATTCATAAAGTGACGTTCGCATAATGATTATTATAATTATAGCAACTATTACGATTCAGATAATCGTAATCCGCAAAGTGTAACGAAGAAAGTCTGATTGTGTGTGTGACGAATCTTTGATGTAGAGATATTTTTTTACGTCAAAATGTATTTGCAGCAAATTAAAATTTTATCACTGTGTTGACTACATTGTTGAGATAAGTGACGGACGTCGCTTCGTAGAAACGCGTAAGCATTATACAACTCGATATGCCAGCATTAAAATTATAGGTATAGGCGATTGCGTAAAAGAGGCATAACCACATAGGATGAAAATAATTATTGTAAATTTTCTATTAAGCTTGTTTGATACGACAATTAATCAAACGAATACGAATATCAATGCAAGGCTATTTGATTCGCGCGATGTTTCAATAAGGCAATCGTTCACCGGTAAATCGATCGGATTAAAAAATCGTATCTCGCGAGTGATTGCTTCGCCAGGTCATACATGCTGCGATTTTAAGCCGTCATGATGGTAATGAGGCTTATTCGTAAAATAAGTAACGAGCCTGTTTCGACGAAGAGCAATGAGTAGCGCGCCTCGAACACGGAGTCTTAAAAATTATACCGAATAACGACCATACGTAACTGCGTACATGCACCGGGCGTACGGGTCCCTTTCATGGGTGCGTTTTTCTCTCTTTTTCGTGACCGATTGAACGCGAGGAGAGATAATTATCGGTAAAGATAACACGCGCGCGCACGAACAACGGAGAAACAAGAAAAGCGCGGATTGCAGATATACATCGCGACTTCCTCGATAATAAAAATAATGATACACGCCTTGTAATTTCCTGGAAAGTAAAAATGGCCGTGTCCTTCAAGTTTTCATTATCTTGAGAGGTTCTATATTAAGCGACTCGATATTGAGGCGCGACTAGATAAGTGTGCAACGGTAAGCATCAGAGGCAAGTTCTGCACACAGATAGCAGTATTCGACGCGAGTATTATCACGCGGACGATAAAAGTCCGCTCGGCTCGCGGAACTGAGTTTAGCGATGGCACGGCCGTAGGACAAGGCGTGAGTAATTTATTGCTGGGATGAATATCGGCTGACCGGTAGCCAGTTTATGTACTAGTATATCACGGTAATTGATGGTCGGTGTTGTATTCGCACCCCGCCGTCTTATATCACGCACCAACGACTCTGTGTAGCGGACAAATGGTAAGGTGTTTATCAATATAGTCGCACCAGCGTCTCGGGAGCAATCGATAAGAAACTTCCAGCACGTCCGAACGTTTTTATAGATAATTGCATCCCGACGTGCTGTCGTTTAAAAGTGAAGTTACATCCGCCGAGGTATACTGAAGCGCGATAAGGTTTTTCCCATCGTTCGCTATGATTCACGAATAAGAGTCCGACTATTTATTTACACACGTACGTTTTATGAGCTGGACGAGATTCCGCAACAACGTTTTTTCGCTTCAGCATCTACAAATTTTATACCGGATATATTTATATTTCTCTCGATTTTTTTTGCGGAAATCAATTATCATCATCATATTGATACACTCGCAGAAATACATGTCAATATTTTATAAAGTCCGATTGGAATGTTTTCCGTGTGTGATAATAATATGACTCACGCAAGTATGCAGCGATCTATGCAGCGCTATAATATTTATAGATACGCGAAACGATATCGCCATAAACAAATTGCCGCGCGCGGATTTTATTCGGCATCATAATTGTACGAATAAATTGCGTCGTTTTAATTAAAAATAGGAAAATGTACATGATACTTTTTTTTATAAAGTTCTAATAATATTCAGAGATATCGAGATGGTATATATTATTTTATTACAATCAAAGCTTTAGGCCCTTTGTATGACAACTTAATTATGCGAATTAAATGTCGTCAATGAAAGAAAAAAATCAGACACCAATCTTCTGTTCTGTCGATCTCGCGGGACGCGAATACGACTGTTGTATTATATCGCCTGTAAATACGTCTCGTCCCTCGATAGACTACACGGTGAACATTGATACGCCGATACGGTTGCATGCTCGGTGTCTCGTACTCATTAGGGTAGATCTACGATCAGCAGACACCGATCGGTCGGGAAAGGCAATCAGTTATTACGACACCCTGGTAATTAACTCGAGGCCGAGTTCGACTGCACGCGCATGTATATTCCTTCCCGTCGGAATACGCGCGAATTAACCGCGGGGGGAAAAGGAAAAAAGGAAAACGCTACAAGCGTTCGTAGCCATCGTACAATTTACACATTCGGTCATATTTATACGATCGCGACGCTGATAGTTTATTCGCTCGAGTGAATCGTCACGGCGGAACGAAAGTCAGTTCACCGGCCGTGAGCGATGTTCGTTGGTTCAAGCTAATTTTCCAGAATGCGCATTTATATGTCACGTCGAAAGAGATACTTATCTACAACGATTAGATTATAATCCCAAACATTCATCCCGATCGTCCGACTCGAACATTAAAGTTATCAACGCGCCGGAAGAACCAATTAAATCGTCTTTGATGGTTATCTGCGTAATTAGGCGCCACTGCGACTACTCAATCGTGCGCGACTAGTTTAATCATCATTTTTACGATTCTAAAGTCCGATACGGGAATTATCAATTGCGCGTATGAAATCATCGAGCAAATAAACTTCGACTCACAAAACCGACTTATAAAACCGGCACGATAGAAGAACTCCGACGTGATATTTTCCTCCGCTGAACAATTCACACTTTCTACGATTGAAAATCGCATATAGAATAGTACCATTAGACGGTGCGGTGTAGAGTCTCACGTGATCTATTGTTTTCGCACGGGATGGTGTTGCGTACGACGCGGCAAATGTTATGCAAACACATATCGATATCTGTTGAACTGAATCTTGAGCACACCTAAGTTTACGCATGCATTCACATGAGCGCCTAGCGTTAAGCTTTACGCGCTTCTCAAGCTTATATCACGCTTTTGAAAGGAGTGAGATACCCATTCAGGGTAATGTATAAAAGGCACGCGAGATGTGGAAAGTTAATTATTGTGGCGTAGATGATATTGTTCCTCGACGAGACTATATACGGAAATGTTAAATGCGAAAGTTGCAGGCGCGAAAAGTGAAAACCGCCTTGGCTACCATTTACATCCAATTTGCGACAACGCTATTTTGTCAAATCGCTGTGTCGACATTGCGTTTTCAAAGTCGGCACTCTAAATGCGCCGCAATTTTCTCTTTTTAGAATTTTTGAGTGTGACGAAACAAGTGAGGCAATTGACGTGAGTCGAGAAGGTGGCTGGTGACGATCTTTTAAAGAACACGGACGCTTGTTGTCAATGCCTGCCACGATAGAAATGGAAGTTTACCGCTGAATCAATTATAAGTCCATTAGGCAGTAAGTAACGAACGTGGTGGACACGCCGACAACGCGTCTGACAACATACGCGTTTACTTACTGCAAGAACAAGCATTTTGCGTAAATGCGATGAGTGAAACCTTATGTTATTCAGTACGTTAAAGTGACCTTCGTTCACTTGCGATTTCG